TTTCTTTTTTTTTTTCTTTTTTTTTTCTTTTTTTTTTTTTTTTTTTGACGTACCTGCTTACGTCATCACTCGAGCTGTCCGACTCGTCTGAATCACTGTCCGACTCCTCACTGTCTGACGACTCGGCCTTGGGATCGTAGCCTCGAAACGCACCTCAAAAATCAAATGTGAAATTACAACCTGTAAGACACCCTGTGAGAAACTTAAGGAAGAAAATGTTATTCTTGGGGTCACTTTTTATTCAGTGATACAGACTTTTACATTGATGAGTGATATTTTGAATGTTTGACACTGACAACCAGCAGTCCTATGATTTCATTTATTGATATTACTTTAAGTAAAGTCAAATGCATTTTTATAAGTTGGTATCGAATGAATGCTCTTTCAGAAACTGACGTCACTTAATATCTTAAATTATTCCCAACTTTGTGGCACAAAGTCTGTGATAATATAAAGGGGAGTACCTCTTGATGCATGTTCTTTTGCATGTATAGACTGTATTGCCGGCAAAAATTGAGCTTCAACTACTCCCGACTCCAACGTTGATCGAATGCCAGACTCAGCAGGTGCTTCAGCAACTCGATAGAACACAAAATGTTTTCTCTCCGTTTCCTCCTTGTAGGTTGGGCAGTCAAACTCCGATTTTTCATTTTCCTCTAGCTGCGCAAGAATAACTTGTTTTCCATCAACATACACATCAACATTACATTTCACTTTGTTGGTATTCTGGAGCATTATTTGAAACTTTTGGCCACTCTGAAGTTCTACATATTCTTGTCCGTCTTCTACCTCATAATGCTGACCCCCAACTATGCCTAGTCTATACCCATCACACTCTTTATAATTTTTGTCTTTCTTTTTAAACTGGATTCGAATTGGGTTTGATGTCACTCGAGTTAAGGGACTCTTTGGTTTTTCAAGTATGGATCCGACATTTCTTTGCCTCAGAAGTTCAGGCTTTATTTGTGGTTCTTCCGATAGTGCAGTTTCGACTGAAAGATACAATAGCACATGATACGATCCACACAATTTAAATGTATATGTGTGAAATATTCGAATGCCTAGTAGGGCCTACATTACAGGGTTACCTACGGAGCGAGAAAAAAAAAACTAATTAAAACACATTTTGGTCTTGTTTCCTATTTCGATTGCGTTTTCAATAATGGCATCTATTCACAAAACTCTATAAACTGCATTACAGGGCATTTCTGCCATTTTGAGTTTGAAATACAAATGAAACTAGATTGCTTATTTTAATGATCTTTTATACACTGTAGTCTATATTTACTTACGTGTTTTATTCACTGTTGGCGGCGCATCTGTTTCTAAATCCAAGCCTAAACTTTTAGTATTTGTATCGTCAATTACTTCTGTTTCTCGAGGCTCCGGTGAGGATTTCATTTCAGTGAGAGCGACCGAACCTAAGATAATTTCTAGTGGCTGATTTGAGTCTGTCCTTTGAGTGTTAGGTTGCAACGATTCCGATCCTTGTAGTTTTGGGTCAACCCAGGAGTATTCGGCAGGTTTTTTCATTTCTTGGGACGAGAACTCGGTCTCTCTGCAAATGCTAAGACCTTGTCCACTTTGTGAATAATTGGACTGGATTTGTTCGTCGATAGAAGAGACTGGAAAAATTTACAAAGGTCAAGTATATGAATGTACTGAAAATTAGCCAATTCAGCTTTTAACATTTATCACTTTTTTGTGATTTAATAAGTAAGGTTTGACAATTGTATTGTAGGCCTACATGCAGCCTACATGTGATGTGCATTTTGCTCAGTAGCATAAACGGCCGCTCTCTATTCGTTATATTATATAGGGTCTACATGTTTATAAAACTGAATCTGATATTAAGGCATGGATATATGATGTTTCTTATAAAAAGAGATAACTATTTACTGTAATTATAACGTTTTACTGGATATTGCATTTCCCCTTGAAAGTGGAGTCGCTTCCAGGAAAACAACCAATTTGTGCCAAAAGAGGGCACTAGCGGCAGACATGTGGTTATGAGTAATGTGTCAGCAGATGTTTTGTGTGACGTATTCATTCCCTCTATATTTAAGTGTACAGATTTTATCAAATTTAATTTTGCACGTTTCATTTGTATTTGTACACGTAACTTAATGGCTATCCTAGCACACGAGGGTGCGTGCAAATCTCAATTATATACAGTTAGGTCTATCAGAGATGATAAACACTATTCAAAACATAGTTGACCTAGTTGCATCTAACCGGATCTTTGCGACCCTGTCTATCATATACATGTATACATGTTAAAATTTACTGAGCGAGCTTGGCCAGTTTTCCATACCTTTGGTCGAAAAATCTCTGATCCTGATATACAGATCGTGTCTGTGAAGAGACTGCATTAAATACTGTAGGTAAGTCAGATCTTCGTCACATATATGTGCCCCTTCTTCTAACAGAGAAAATATATGATACCCCTGGTCTACTCCCTCCAGTCTTGACTTTGGAACGACACCAGAGACAAGATATTTTAACTCTTCTACGTTTTGAGTCGACAATTCATGGGATATTTCCATTAGAAAGGCACGAAAATCAGTCGCTTCTCGAGTCGCCGGAGTCATTTTAGAAGACTGGCGTTAATATACTTGACCCAGATAGGCCTACGTGTTTGTAGGCCGAGTCAGAAATCCCTTGTTTCGATTCGTCAAACCTAAACGATTAAACAGTGATTATAATATGCTTCTTTCTTCCTGTCATTGTTAGCAGTGAGCACAAGTTCATAATTTTACAGTGTAAATATGAATCCCAAACAATTTGTTTATCCAGTCAAACCAGGAGCTTTCCTGTAACGAAATGGAAATGGTTCGTGGAAACGTCTATTTTTAGCTCTTGCTCATTAGGGCCTACGAGTGCACTTTTATCGTGATCCCATGTCACATGCACGTCAAATTACATTAGGCATGTACGATTAGAAAAAATTAAGGTTTCCCCTTTTCTCTGCCATTTGGACTGATATGGAGAATTTTTATAATTGCACATCAAAATGCTTATGACTCTGTCACACATAGGCCTACTTACCGAATTTTGAGTATATGACATCACCCTTTTTCCAGCGTATAAATAAAATGAACAAATGAGCAGAGTGTAAAATTGTTTTTGAATATGCTCAAAACATTTTGTCTCCCTCCGCGATTGCAGATCGACCTACAACAAGGTTTTCCATGCGTAGGCCTACTTGAAACGTAGGGACACGTCGTAAGTGTAACCATAGAAGTAGAGAATCTACTTCTATNAAAAAAAAAAAAAAAAAATGCCTAATGAAATTAGATCATAAAAACCTACGTTCATCTTATAATATTTGTCCATCTACAAGCTTGCAAATAACTTTTCTATAATAATCCTTTGCTGTTGAGATAGCGTGCACCAGCATAAAACGCAAGGGATCCACTAATGGCTTTATCAGTTCACTTTGTATATCATTTCCTTATAAAAGTACACCATTAATAATGAGCTAACCATTTTGTCTCTACGTTTCTTGTCATATATCTCCTTTAGACATCGTGCAAAAATTGCAAATACACAAAAAGCCAACAGGTTGGACACAGACCAAAGAAAACATTCAGTTTCGTATACAGTGTGTACCATATGGATTTAATTGATATATTTCGTGCTTCAAAAGATAATGGTAGACACAGATGTGGGAACGACAAAATGTCATCAACAGGGCATTAATGACAACTCAAAGTATAATACAGGAAAAACTTAAATGAAACAGTTGGAGTTTCGTGCATTTCATTTTCGCAATCTCAAGAACTCGGGGTTTGCAGAAAACAAACTCGCCTGGCGTTCTCTTTTAATGTTAAAATGTGACATACCAATTCAAATAATAACAGAAAAGCCCGTGTAATCACGAACATCATTGCATACATGAAAAACGATTTGAACAGCGACTTCCAAATGTCACCGTTTAAACTTTCATCGAGACTGTGGCAACCCTCAGGGTACAGATGACTGATGTGAGATCGAAACCATCAATACAACCCTCATGCAATAATATAGAAATGTTCCACAATATTATGTATGTATGACGAAACAGCTGCTGTGCCGTGCAAAATGTCGCAGACTTCCTCTAAATGTTACAGTCCTTCGTCAATATGTAAATGTTTTTTATGGAAAAACAAAAACAAAACGAAACAGGTTCCCAGTCCTGCATCGTTAGTCCACTTACAACCTGATAATTTTACTTATAGTAGATACAAAAAAAATGAGTATTATCTTTCGTAATTCTCATATTTGCAAGTAATGTAATGTAGATAGCACTGGCTCTAAAATGGTGTCACAATCATCTATCACCACTCCGTATCTTGCGCCATGTCATTTTAGCATTTCTGTTTTAGCCTGTCAGCTGTGTAGTGGATAACATGGTTCTGCTGGAGGTGCGGACAGGTGATCGTCATCTCTGAAATAACAGTGTTCAGGAAGTGTCGTAAATGAGCAGATCATATTACATTCATTTAGTCATTCAGCAGTTTGGCACTTATCCCACTATTAAATAGTTAAATGTTATAAGTGGCACAGCTATTATATCGACGTTACTAACCCGCATTCGCTAGAATTTTGCATGGTTTACTCTATATCTAAACTGTTTTGTTTTTTGAATCACATGTGAACCAGATTTTAAAACAAGATGCTAGTAGGCCCTACGTTAGAGACCAATTGTCAAATTAACGCGTGTGTGTGTGAATGTGTGTATGTGTGTGCGCGTAGTGAGAAAGACTTAATTGTCAGTATTGACAATAAATTCTTCATAGGCTTGCAGATACATTTTATCCAAATGTTCGTTACTTTATTTAATAATAATAATAATAATAATAATAATAATAATAATAATAATAATAATAATAAATACCCAATCAAATGGAATATGATATCCATATGATCAAATCCACTAACTACTTCAAAACTGGAAGGAAGATAAGACGTTGATCTTACTTGCCAACGAGTTTCACCATCAGTGTGGTCTTCTGTTTTTCGTCTACCACCAGATCTTCGGCGGCAGAAAATTTAGCATGACTAGGCCCTTGTAATGCCACTCCGCCTGCACTCCACCCTCTACAAAGATATTACACGCCATAGGTAAGTACTCCGAATGAAAGTTAATGGACCCTGTGAGAATTCTGCAAACTTCAACAGCATTTAACAAATCTGTTTGATTGCAGATATTTCCATTATAGCACAGTTGATGTTTTAAACTCATTTGCCGCCCTGTCAATAAGCCTAGCAAGAGGTTTCTCCATTCCTTTCACAAACCTTGATTTGCCGCTGGAAATTTATACATGTATTCAAAGTTTTTTTAAATTATCTAACAAAATATTTACCCATAGGCTTACTTAATTAAAAATTGCTTTTACTCAAGTAGTCATCTTGTATTTGATTTAAACTGCGACATATGACAGTAAACGCCATAAAATATTTTAAAAGATTTTAAACAGTGCATATGACTTTAGGATAAAAATTTTATCAGT